GGCGGCAGCTGCCGGGCGGGGGCTCTCGCGGCGGGACCCCCAGGGCCCTCGGGCCTGCCCCGCCGGGGGCCCCGTCAGAGCGGGGGGAGCCGCGGGCGGCGACGGCAACCCGCGGCCTCCTCCGGGCCCCGCCCCCGCGCTCGGTGGGCGGGGACCACGACAGTCCGCGTCCTGGTTGGCCAGATCATCTGCCAATCACAGCAAAAAAGCCTTTCCATTGGCCGAGCCCCCGCTGCTTTATCAGTCCATCTCGCGGAGCTCCCGTGTCGTCACTGTCGCTTCTCCCCGACCGCCCGTTCTCCTCCGCTAGGAAACATAGTCCCCGCTACGGGGGAGTCCCCGCCGCGCTGCTGCCGCCGCCACGGTCCCGTTCCGCTGCCCCCGGAGCGGCCCCGCCCGTGCCGGTGCCGTGAGGCGCTCGCAGCGGCATCACTCCCAGTTCCCCGCTGCTTTTACGGGCGGAGGGATACGGCGGGGGCGGGGCGTGCGGCCGCGAGCCGTGAGGGCGTGCGGGGGGTGGCGGCAGAGGCGGGCGCGGGAGCAGGGGGGGGGCTGTAAGGGGAGACGCCGTGGCTGCCGCCGCCGCGGGGGGAACTATGCGGGGGCCGCGGGCCGGGCGGGCGGGCCGGCGGCGGGAGGCGGAGCAGCAGCGGCGGCCCCGGCAGCAGCAGCAGCGTTAGGGCCCGGCCCGGCGCGGGGCGGGGCCGCGGGGCGGGCCGGGGCGCACGCGCCGCCCGGTGCGGGGCGATCGCGCCGCTTCGCTACATTGTATCCGCCGGCGGCGGAGAACAATAGGCGCCGCCGCCGCCCCCGGGCCTGGGCGCCGCGGCCGCCCCCGCCCCCGCCGCGACCCCCGACACCCTTCATGCGCTTCCCCTGCCCCGGGCGCGCCGGGCCTGGAACAGGTAAAAAAAAAAAAAATAAAAATGTAGAAATAATAAAATAATAACCAAGCCAACCCGGCCGCGCCGCCCTGGGGCTGCGTGGAGAGGGGGTCCCGGCGCTGCGGGCGCGGCGGTGCCGGAGCTGTGGGTGCCGGTGTGGCGGGGCTCGGAGCGCTCGGGCTGCGGGCGCGGAGCGGGACGGGACGGGCTCGGCGCTATTGTCCCCTCGGCAAAGTTTGCCGGGGCCGAGGGAAGGGGGGCGGCAGCGGCGGGGCGGGCTCGGGGGGCGTGCGGGCCCCTAGGAGGGGATGTGCGGGTGCCCGGCGGGGAAGGGGGCCCGGTGCTCGCTCCTGCTGCGAACTTCAGCCGAGCACAGCCCGCCGGCCGCCCTCGGCCCGCCGCAGCCCCCCCCAGAAGTCCGTGAGCCCCTTCCCGGCTCGGGGACTGCAGCAGCCGCGGGACCCAGCGCGGGGGCGGCTGCTTCGGCTTCCCCCACCCCGGCAGGGAGGGGGCTGGTGGGGGCCGCTTCGTCCTCCTGTGCTCCCCGGTCTGGGCGGGGGCTGCCCGCCGGGACCCCCGTCTCTATGGCGCGGGGGTCGTGGGTGAGGGGCAGCGAACAACTTCACCCCCGGCCCGCGCCCGTCCCGGGGCAGCCGAGCCTTTGTCCGGGCTGGGGAGGGACCCCGGGGCAGCGGGGACATCTGGGAGGGGGAACCGGCCCAGCGCCCCGGCCCCGCGGGCTGCTTTGGGGTCAGAAAGTGCGCGTGGAATAAATAAAAATAACCTCCCCAGCCTGGCTTTGGGGTGGCCACGGGTTTTGTTCACGTTGTCCCCGGTGCCTCCGGGGTGCAGGGTTTGGGGGTCTGGGAAGAGATGTACCCTCCTCATTCCCTGGGTTCTCCGGGGTCTTGTGTCCCCCAGCCCCACTTGAGGCACTGGGGCTGAAGCTTGGGAAAGTGGCTTTAAAAACACTGACCAGATGCCCTGATGACACTTTGAAAAAGGCTTTTCAAAGAAAATGAAAATTTAAAAAAAAAAAAAAAAAAGAAAATTCCCGGGCTGTTTTTTATAGTGGTGAAGGCTTTTTACATGCTGGGCTGATTTCAGCCTTTTTTAATGAAACTTCATTGAAATGTAGTGGCTGAGCCTACAAACACTTTGGATCGTGTGGAGTTTTCTTTTTTTTTTTTTTTACGTCTTTTTTTTTTAACCTTACGATTAATGAGTTAAATTTATTGGCCAGCTGCCCTTTGTAACCATGAATGAGTTCCTAAAAAAAAAGGCCAAAAAAAAAAAAGGAATCTTTTATCTCATCCCAGGCCTCTCTTCCTCCCTCCCAAAGAAATATTTTTCTATCATAGCAAGCTGGCCAAAAAGATCAATCTCCCTTTTGAAAAAAAATAATCTGTAAAATTAGGAAGAATAATATTTACCTATCTTTCAAGGTTGCCTGGAGGGCTTTATTTTTGCAAAAACACTCCGAAAACAAAATTTTTTTGTTTCCAGTCCCTTTTGGGAGTGGAGAGGTTCAGTTCTCACTGAGCACGGCCTGGCTGGGCATCCCCAAACACAGCCCCTGAAAAAGCAGCTGCAGGTGCTCGGCGACCCGAAGGAAAGAGCTGTAACATCAGACTTTTTTTTTTCACTTTTTTTTTTTTTTTTTTTTTTTAACAAAACTCGGCAAGGACAAGAGAGCCTCCTGCGGGGAGCAAGTGTGGGGGAAGGCGAGGGGGCGAGCCGAGCCAGACAAGCGCCTGAGTGATAACTTGCCTGAACCCTTTGATAAATGAGTTGACTCTTTTTTTTTCCTTTTTTTTTTTTTTTTCTTTCTTTTCCCCCCTTCATTCGCCACACGCCGGGAACAGAATTGGCCTGAACTAGTGGAATTGGCAGCAAAAAACTAACATACAAGTGTGTCTGGTCAATAGAACGCTTGTTCCTGCCGCTGGGTGCTGTGTGAGGACTCCGACTGTGCTCTGGCCCCGGAGTTGGACGCTGCAGACGCATTCAGGGTTTTTTTTTCTCGCCCCTCCACTCTGTCTTTTTAAAATATTCATCAATGGGGTGGGTAGTTTGCTGTAGTCATTAAAATATCTCTCTCCCCTCCCCCTTGCTTTCTCCAGGACTGCCACTGTTGAGTCTGTGGGAATATGAATCAGCAGCAGCAGAGAATGGCTGCAGTTGGGACAGACAAAGAGCTCAGTGACCTGCTGGACTTCAGTATGGTGAGCGAGTGCGGCCGGGGGGCTGCGCAGCCCTGGGGCTGGGAGCTGCACAGGGGAGGAAATGTGAGCCTGTAAATTGGACATGATGGGTTTCAGATGTGCCGTGTTTGTGTGCGTGCACATGTGCTGCAACTTGTTTATTTTCAAGTTAAAGCAAAGCCTCTGCCCCTCCTCTCCCCCTCTTCCCCTCAAACGTGTGTTGTTCCCTCGCCGGGAAGGCAGAGAGGTTTCTTTTCTGGATGGGAAATTCTGGGGGAATTAACAGAGTTGTGTGTTCTCTGTTTAAATGTTCACTGGGTGACTGTTTCTGCAGCAATGCGGAGATGTAACTTCAGTAGCTGATTAATCAAGCTTTTTTCCTCTCCCTACATCCAGACTATTAAACTTTTGCTCCCACAGGTTATTTTGTCACAGTTTGAAATGTGTCCAAGCTTTCCAGCATGTTACTTTCGCGGTAGTTGGACACTTGTGTTCACCATGCTCTGCTCTTCTATATCCTGGAAACCTTGAGCTGCATTTAGGAGCTGTTTATTTTCAAAGAAACAGGACCTAAGAGTTCCCCCTGAAGGGTGTGCACAGCTCAGAGGGAGGAGAAGTCCCTTTAGTCACAGCAGAGCAGGGTTAGTTCCTGGCACATCCCACTGTGGCACTGCCAGCAGTGCTGCCTCTCCTTGGCAGGTGACTTGTGGAGGGCAGAGCTGGTGTTCAAAGGGAAATAACTGTCTGTTGGGTTCCTCTGTTGTGTGCTGCACTCTCATGGCACTCCAAGCGTGTGTCTTGCTGTCGAGATAAGCAAACGTGTTGCAGAGATAGAAACAGCTCCAGGAGGGGGAATGGCCATGAGAGTCACCCCAGTCTGGGTCACCCAGCCCACAGCCCTGCTGGGTTGATGTTTCTGCCCCTTGGAGGAGAAGGAACAAAAAGTGGTGGCAGAGCTAGGGTCACCTGCTGTCCTGGTGGCTGTGACACCTGTGGATGTGCTGAGGCTCATCTGCTTTTCTGCATCCGCACACTGAGGTTCAGCCCTGGGAAATAAACCTTTTTCTACAGCTGGGGGTTGTACCTGTCCTGACAGGGCTCTGCCCTGGAGAGGGGGCAGCAAGGAGGGGGGGGTGACTATCAGCCCCCCAAGAGCAATTCTCCTGCAGGAGAGGCCTAGTTCTCCCAGTTTCGTACCTCTACTGGGAGGCTGGTTCTGTTAAATTGCTGGTAATGGGCTTTTCTGGTAGAACGTTTTAAAGTGGGTACAGGGACTGCAGCGATGGTATCCCTGTGAGACCAGGAATCTGATCAGTGCTTCCTGTGGTTATTTGTCCCTCTCAGAGGTCCTGCAGGAGCCCTGGGGCTTTCCGTCAACTGCACTTTGGGTCAGTAACCCAGAACCTGCTCCTTGATGGGGGCTGCAGCAGGTCCCACTTTGCTTTTTCTCCTTGGAAAAAAAAAACAAATCCCATTCACCATTTAGAAAAAAACCCAAGACCTTATTTTCCAATTTGACCAGCCATCCTCATTTGCATGCCTAGAGCTGTATTCCCGGGAGGAGTCTTGACCTGGTCCCTCTGTACACAAATGTCTCTGTCCTTGGAGGTGAATCCACACCAAAAAGGTTAAATTTGGGTTTGGATTCAATGCTCTTCCACTGATGTAATTCTGGAAAGGACCAGAATTCATCCTGTGCTCCTCCAAGGCTGCCATGGAGGTGCTGGGGGTAGGTGCTCACAACATCAGGGCCTGCAAATGTCATTTTTCAGCAAATGACTCGAAGACGTTCCCTGCAGGATCCGTTGGCCGATGGGCTCTGGCGCAGCCTGGACCGCAGCCAGCTCTGTTTCACAAACCCTCATCTCCACACACCCTTCTCCTCCTTTGCATAAAGGGAATATTAACGTCTCTCCTCAAGGATGAGGAGCTGAAATGGAAAAGCTTCCTAGACAGTAGATGGGCCTGTTGAATAGGTGTTCCATGGTTTGCTCTCCCTGTGTCCTTGGGATACAGGATTTTTGACCACAAAGCTCACTTTTTCAAGTGTATTTATATTTTTCTCTGAATAAACAGGAGTGGAGCATTGGTTCAGTAATCCTCTCCAGGAGAGTAGAGAGGAGGGAAAAGCAGAGCTACTCAGAGCAGCTGGAAGCATTTGCTTCAGACCAGTATTTTGATTCCTTTTTTCTAGGGAAAATGTGTTCAGCCCTGCCAGTCTGTGGTCTAGCCCTGTCCTGTGTTTTGCTGTACAGGGAGGGAATTTTAAGGCCCTAAGGGGGTGGTATGGCCTGCCATAAGTTCCTGGGGACAGTAAATGACAAGAGTTGTGCGAGATGCTGCAAACTGGGCTTGCAGTCCTGAAAGAAGAGACTCATCCCCTCTCTAATAAATAAATCCATTTGGTAGATATTGAACTGCAAAGCACTCACCAAAAGCCTTGTGCCACTGTAATTTGCCAAAAAGGGCACAAATCAAAGGAATCTGTAAGTGAGCAGGAGTCAAAGGAAAGGCCCAGTGATGCTTTGGGGTGTGCATGGCAGCACACTTACCTCTACCCCCAGATAAATTGCCTTTTCTAATTGCCCCAAAGTGCAGGTAATTTGTAAGCCTGCCTTCACCACTGCTCCCTGGCAGCAGGCCCAGATGGGCTGGCAGATCTGGAGAGGAGCTTTTGAGAAAGCATCCTGCATATAGACCCGAGTGGGCAGCTCAGCCTATTGATCAGGCTGGGCTTTGGTGGCTGCCAGGCTCTGCAGCTCAGCCTGACGGGCACAGGCTGTGTATGGGGGGAGCTGCCTGTGCTGTCGGGAGATGATCAACCACAAGGACTTGGATAAGAGGAAAAGGTTCTTCCCCCCGAGGGTGCTGGCACTGCCCAGGCTCCCCAGGGAATGGGCCCGGCCCCAAGGCTGCCAGAGCTCCAGGAGCGTTTGGACAGCGCTCTCAGGGATGCTCAGGGTGGGCTTGTTGGGGGGTCTGGGCAGGGCCAGGTGTTGCACTGATGATCCCTGAGGGTCTCTTCCAGCTCAGGATATTCCAGGATTCAAGGACTTTTTGTGGTTACTGGTTATCCCAGGCAGTGTCTCACCTGTGCTGGTGTGCAGAGGGAAGGTGCCTCTGACACAGCTGTCCTGGCTGGGCTGGGCTGCTCTGAAGGACAGGGGAGCAGAGCAGCCCCGGGTGAGTCGGTGGCACCGAGCGCCAGCCGAGCTGGGAGCGGCCCTGTGCCAGTGCCAGCCGGGGGCTCTGGCAGGAGCGAGGTGCTGTTAACAGCCATGATTATTAGCAGAGTATTAACCATATGCTGCGGGGAGCTGCCTGGCAGAGGGGCTTTCTGGCTCGGCACAGGGTGGGCAGGGGCTTGAGCAGTCACACAGGACCTGCCTCTCATCGCTGCACCCACGGCTGCTCCCGCTGCGCCGCGGCTCCTGCGGCTCCAACCCCGGATCCGGGGGTGGGAGCCAAACTGTTGGCAGCAAGCAGGGCTGGAGCAACTCCTGCTGCTCCGCTGGAGGATGCTGAAGCCATGCCCTGCTTGGGCCAAGGCCCAGTGCCTGCATTTCCATGATAAAACTCTGAGTTTTGTTCAGAGCGAAGCAGTTGTGGGGTTTAAAGTTTGACTTCACACACAGTGGGCGTTCGGGGCTGTAGTCAGGAAGGTCTGTCTTAAGTGAACATGTATAGAATGTCGTGCTGGCAATGTATTTTGAGGCAAATTGCCTCTTCTCCCCAGATTAACAGCTGGATAGTTTCCATGCTGCAAAATAGATTTCAGGTTTCGAATTCAGGCCTGAGGTTGGTCCAGCCTGGAGTTCATCAGGTGGGAGAGGAGAGAGAGTGAGCACTGATTTAATTTGAAAAGAGATGCTCTTCTAGATGGACACAGTAAATGAGAGGCTGATTGATGTTCCTCGTTTCTGGCAAATTCCCTTTCTTCCTTAGGAGTTTTCTGTATGACGTGTAGGGTCTCTCGGCTATAACCTCCGCAGGGAGGGTGCAGGCATTTGGATCTTCCCATGCTCTGGATTTGCCTCTTTTACCCAGGGAGAAATGGAGGGAGAATAAATTGTTTGGGAGGGGTGGAAATTTAGCTAGAAGGGAATGCAGAAATTGTTGTCAGCTCTCAGGGAGGCTGGAGATAGGACTTGAAAAACCAAATACAGGACTTAAGATAGGGGATTTTACATAACCGTTTAAATCTACATTATTCAAATCTAACAAAGGCCAAGTAATGACCCAATTACTCTTGAGAGCTCATGCCTGGGTCCCTCCTCAACGCCTGGGTCCCCTGGTAGGTGCCAGCTCCGGTTCATCTCCTCCCTCCCCGCAGTTTATTTTTAAAGCAGCATTTAAAAGCAGAAAGGAAATTTGCAGTGGGTGGATGAACTTTACCTCTGAGCGACACACACCATCGAAGGCACTTATGACTTGTGCCGGGCTCCTCGGGGCAGCTTCAGCCCACACCACAGTGGAAAAAGAGGCTGGGAGCAAGAAAAATGCCCAAAACACCTCCTGGGGTTGTCAAGTGATAAATGTGGAGGGGTAACCCAGGGTTCCCTGCTCTCCATCACCCTTCTTTGACAGCATGAGGTTGTGTCAGGGCTTGGATCTCAGGGCAAGGTTCTTCCCCCCGAGGGTGCTGGCACTGCCCAGGCTCCCCAGGGAATGGGCCCGGCCCCAAGGCTGCCAGAGCTCCAGGAGCGTTTGGACAGCGCTCTCAGTGATGCTCAGGGTGGGCTTGTTGGGGGGTCTGGGCAGGGCCAGGGGCTGCACTGGGTGATCCTTGGGGGTCCTTTCCAGTTTAGGATATTTCAGGATTCTGTGCTTTAGCATCTCCACTTGTCCTGCTGCAGGAAGGGGTCCGTGACTCCTAATCCCATGGGGAGGGAGAGCAGGAAGATGTTGCATCAGCCTCAAAATCTCTCTCTAAGTAGTTGGAGGAGGGGAGGGGTTCCCCGGGCTGAGGGGGGGTGTGGGGGTGTTTTGGGGGTGCTGGGAATTGCTGTCCTGGGGGAACCCTTGTCCTGTTCTGCAAAAGCAGAAGGTGCTGGCTGTTCCTTTTCTCCACTCGTGTTTGCTGCTCAAACCGTGGGATTTTCAGCCTCAGCAAGTGCTGAGCAGAAATGCTCATGAAAAGAGCTGCCCGTTTATTTTTTTTTTTTGTGCCTGTAGTTTGTTTGTTTGTTTGTTTGTTTAAATTTTTGGTTGATTTTTTGTGTGTATGTGAATGTGCTTTTTGTTGGTTGGTTCTTGGTGCATCCTTTCCCCCCTGCTCGCACATGCAGACCTGTCCCTTGCCACTTGGCAAAATGGGAGTTTGATCTCAACCTTCTTCCCCACCTTGAGAAGGGGGAGCGAGCACAGGTGGGGTGGGATCAGCCCCTAAGGCCCATTTTCAGCACTTTTGGAGATGTTTGCAGAACCCCCCTCCTGCCCTGCAAGGGGGAGGGGGGCACAGGGAAGCCCTGCAGCGGTGCAGAGGAAGGTGAGCTGCAATCTTTGGGGTTTGTTTTTATTTTCTAGCCCAACTTCCTGAGGAAACAAAGCTCATCCGATGAGCTGCTGGGCCACCCCAAACACCTCGGGAGCCCCTGGGGTGAGCAGCAGCCTCGGGGCACATCCCAAGGGGCCAGGGGGCCATGGGCAAGCAGGTCAGGGCAGGTGAGTGCAGGCAGCCGGGATGAACAGCAAACACTGTTTACACCTTCATTTAAATCCATGTATAAAACATCTACACCCTGCACATGCATATATATGATCCCAAATTTGTGCTCTTTATGAATGGCAGTTGGTTCCTTAACTGTTCTCTTTGCATCTCTACCACATTTAACTGTTTTTTTGTTGGGTTTTTTCTCCTCCCCAGCATTTGTGAACACAAAGCTGGGCAGACGGTTCTGTACAAAGGAATGTTTCTGACCACAGCCAGACATCAGCTATGTCAGGGCATGAAACGCTGCCTTTCTGTAGGCCCTTGTGCCATTACATTGTTTAATCTTCAAAGCATTAAACTTTTGAGTTACTCAGACATTACAAAGCTAAAAATAATAAAAATTCAAATGACTTGGTGGTGAAAGTATCTTGAGTAGAAAAAGGATATTAAAATGTTAATTCACTAAGCATTTTCCCACCAGTTGTTTTATTGGCTGGAGCTCCATTTGTGTGGAGGAGAATTAGTTTTCTTTTCTGCTGCACGCAGGTGCATGTAAATTATTAAATAGCAGCCTCTGAAACTCTACCAACTTTTATTAAAAATATTTATACAGGTTAGGTGACGAGGTGTGCAGTATTTTTGAGTAAGCTCCTGGCAGGAGAGGCTCAGTTGTGATAATGAAGCTGCAGTGATAGAGCAAACAAGTCCCCAGAGCAACTAATTCTGTGAAATATATTAATTTTTTAAATCATGTGTAATGATATTGCCCTTGGAGCAGCTTCCTCCCCCCAGGCCCCAGGGTTGTGTTAGGTTCTGGTGTTGCTGGAGTCCCCAAAGCAGCAGGGTGGGAGCTGCTCCATGAGTCTGGGGGCTCATCAGTGGGCCCTGCCAGCCCCATAGGCAGCCCTTGTCCTCCCCAGCACGAGGCTGGAGGTGTGGGATGGGACCAGGACTCCTGTGGGAGCTGGAATAGTGAGGGATAAAATAGCATTGCTGTCGTTACCCTGCTGGCTTTTAATGAGTGGAGTCAGCCTTTCCCCAGGGCTCACCTGGAGCCAGGGTGAGCAATTTTGGGATGAAACTGTTGGTTTGGACCACAGCAGGGATGCTCCTTGGCTAGTTTCCAGCTGCCCCTACAGAACCAGGGGTTGTGCACATGGGGATGTGTGTGGGAGCAGGGCTGGGCCTCCCTCCTGCCCCTCCTGAGCGATGGAGCAGGCACACAAGGAAAGGTTTTTGCATCAATAACGGGCTGCCTCCCCCCTCCCCTCCCCCAGTGTGACCCCTTTGCAGCGGTACAGTAAAACCAACATACTGAAATCTCTTTTCTCTTCCCTTCTCTCTCATCTCCTTGTTTTTCTAGATGTTTCCCCTGCCAGTGGCTAATGGAAAAAACAGACCCACGACCCTTGCAAGCACTCAGTTTGGAGGATCAGGTACTGTCATCTTACTTTTTTTCCCCTTATACCATAATGTTTCTTGCAATAAATTTATGTTTGGTTCCAGAGATGCCATAGGGAAAGGGATTCTGTATTTTGGTGATGTATTTTTCTGGTGGTGCTCTGCTGCTGTTCCTCTGGATGGTTTCCTTCTTGCTCCATGAGTGTCTGGGTGGGCAAAGCTGCTCTTGCTGAGCTGTCTCCCATTCAGACATTGCTGCCTGAGCTGGAGGTTGTTGTCCCACTGCTCCAGGAGCCTGGGAGCAGACAGGGCTGGTCTCTAAGCTGCTTAGATGTGTCTGCACTGCCTTGGAAGACTTTTGCTGTTCCCCTCTGAAGATAGGGGGGTGGTGGCTTGTTCCTGGTGCACTTTGGGGGTCTGTTCAATGCAGCCCCTCCAGCAGGTCCCTGCTGCTGGGTGGGATCTCAGCATTCCCAAAGGGACCTTGCAGAGCCCTCCAGGGTGCCAGGAGGGCACCAGGGATGCTGAACACCCAAAGTTTTTGGGAACAGGGCAGTGGGGACGAGAGGGCTGCAATTGGAGGCTAAGTGTGCTGGTTGGTTTGAGGCTCAGGTGGAGGATTCCTGACCCAGGGTATTAATGCCTAGGGAAGCTGCTCACACAGCCCCTGGCATGAGGGAAGTTCAGCTAATTTGCCCTTCCTGCTGAACACTTCGTGGATGGTTAAAACTCAGCCTTCCCTGCCCTGGGCTGGCTCCAGCTGTGCAGGAAAACTCCTGGCTGTGCTGTGACATTGAGATGCATCCCAGAGACTGGGCTGGGATTTCTGGAGAGCGGCTGTGATGCCCCAGTGAGGCACTGGGGAACCTGCAGCAGCGGGATGGGGGCTCTGCCCTGCCCTGCTTCTGCACCAGGCAGATGTGATGCTCTCAGACTGAGCTGTTTAGCTGCGTGTCAAGATGGTTTTGAGCAAACACTTTTGCAGGGAGGGAAGCTGTTGAGTGGGCGCTGGAGGAAATTGGAGGGGAGAAAACTCTCGGGTTAACCCAGATGGAAGCTGATCTCTCCAGTGAGTGTTCCTTGTGTGCCTTGTGCTGTTAAAATAATCCACAAAAGGCGTGCTACATGCTGGGAGGAGAAGAGCGGTGCAGGAGCTCCCATTAATCCGTTTCCTGCTCAGAGCCTGCCTTGGCTGCCAGGTCCGTGGTGCTGGCCAGAAGCAGAGGCTGGAGTGGGGCCCTGCGGCACAGCCAGACCCCCCTACAGCCCAAACAACACCAAATCTTTGATTCTTCCCCACCCCTTCTTTTCTTTTGGCTGAGTGAAAGGTAGTCACCACCCTTCCTCTGGCCTTCTGCTCTCTGAGCCTGACTGGGAGCAGTTCATAAAAAAAGAGCACTGAGTTATACAGCTGCACTGAGGGATGTTGCACAATCCCTGCTGTCCCAGCCTTGGACACAGCAGAGACTCCCTCATCCACGGGCATCCTGGCTTGGGAATGCAGCTCAGGGCTGGGTGTAGGGCAAGAGCTTTGTTCCAGCAGCAGAGTTATCCCTTGGGCAGCCATCCTGGCCTCACCTGGAGATGAGGGGACAAATTTCATCTAAGTGTCAGTTTTGGGACTTTGCCTTCCTTCTGCATCTTTGGCTTTTTGCTGGTGGGGTGAATAACTGCAGTAAGACATCAGTGAGTTGTGCCATGCAGAGGTCTATGTTCTGCCTGTTAGAAGGATCCAAGGTGTCTAAACAAGGCCCTAGAAAATGGCAAGAGGTTGCTTCACAGATTGTTGGTTTGTTGGTTTAGCTTTATTCACTGAGGCAATCAGATGCTAGTTAGAATTGCAGAATCATGGAAGGCTTTGGGTTGGAAGGGACCTTAAAGCTCATCTTTTTCCACTCCCTGCCATGGGCAGAGACACCTTCCATTAGACCAGGTTTCTGTCCAACCTAGCCTTGGTTATCCCCTAAGGTAGTTCATCCCTCAACACACAGGCAGTCATCCAGCTCAAAATTTGATTTGGAGTCATCGTTAACCTTGATGTGGTTGGAGGGCAGAGAGCCTGGTCCTTGGATTTTGCAGGGGGAGCAGGGCACCTCACAGCCACACCATAGCCTGGACCTGGAGGTGATCACACTACATCTTGCCATGCAGGAAGGCCTGGGCTTCTTTAATGTGCCACATGTGTTTCAAGCACTTCTCAGTCAGGGGGCTGACTGCTGCCTGCAGTGAAGGCAGCGCAGCATTTCCTCTCTGCCTGCAAAGGAGAAGCAAACACTGATTTGTCTGAGTCTTAGCTTGGTGCTGTGCATCACAGTGCCAGGATCTCTTTGTTTGGGCTTATTGTGGTAACCTCAAGATAACAAACTGATGTTAACTCATGTGCCAGAAATATTGGTGTTTTATCCTTCTGCCCATGCAGGATGGGAGCCCATCACTAGGTTGGTGTAATTGGGTTGGACACAGGAATTCATGATCTCCCTCTTCCCATCTCCTTGTGGAAATGCTGGGGCAGTGTGCAGCTTTTATTCTTTTTCCCTTCCAGAGAAGCTGTTATCTCCAGGCTCTTTCCTCCCCAGGGAACTGAGGATGGAAGGAGGGAAGGGAGCAAAGCACTGACTGATCAGTCCCAGCCAAAATGAGATTCTTGCTTCCAAAGTCCAACTAAGTAAATAAAGGAGCAGAAGCATTTTTTAACAGGGAATCCCAGTGATAAAATTGTCCCAAATTCAAATCCTTTTCAAATTCAAAATTTCTTTACCAGAAGTGTTGTTAACCATTGGCACAAGCTGCCCAGGGCAGTGATGGAATCACCATCCCTGGAAGTGTTCAGAACAGGTGTTGATGAGGCACTTGAGGACATGCTTTAGTGGTGAACATGGGCTGACAGTTGAACTTGAACATCCTAAAGATCTTTTCCAACCTTAACAATTCCATGTTTCTAATAACTGCCCTGGCCAAGCTCCTGGTGGCCCAAGGGAAGCCCTTTTTCTCCCCCAGGGCAGAAAAATTCAAAGTGTTCACGCAGACCCTCCAGCTTCGAGATCCCTTTGCTTTCCTATTTGCCTCCTGCTTTTATTTTAAGCCCTGCCACTGTTCCCCTCATTTCTGTCCTCAAATGCTCCGGGGAGGAACTGGTTTCGCTCCCCCGCCGCATGGACAATTCAGCACCTCCGCTTTGCCTTTTCTTGGCAAGGAGAGACCCAACAATTGCCACAAGGATGGAGCTGACGTCACCCAGCCCGTGGCTGCAGCATTTATAGCACATATAGGTCACCACGGGAAGCTGCTCTGCCTGGGGCTGGAGCTGCAACCAGAGTGTTCCAGCAGGGGCTGTTTGCTGCCGGGGTTTTATTTTAGCCAAGGTGCTCAGCCCATGCCTGTTGTCCTGCTCCTCAAAGAGGTTCACTGTCCCCTCCCCAAAAAGTATTTGTTATTTGCAGTAGCAGAACATCTCAAAGCGTGTCCCCCATCGTATCATAGTTCATAAATGACTAATCTGAGCTGCAGCAAGCTCCCTCCCAGTGCTTCATCGGGCCCTGCCTCAAGCAGGAAACCACTGGGGCTGAATTTCTCATGGAAATGACCATTTTAATTGACATGGAGGCAGTGGGAGTGGCTGGAGGCAGCAGAGTTGTGCTGTGGCCTCGTGGCTGCTGAGTTTTCAGCAGGGTTGGTGCGTGCTGGCTGCACCTTTGCTCCAGCAAAGGGGTTTGGGCTCTGCAGAGCAGGGAAATAAACCCAAGGCACGTGGCTGAGTCAGGTAAAACATCTCCTGGAGCAGTGCATGAGCAGCACTTCCACCTGTGGGTAACGTGGAGGGTGTGCAACCATCTCCCTTCCCATCCCAAATGGTGTGGGGTGCCAGGACTGGGTCCTGATGGGATGGGAGCCATGGGGTCTCCTGCTGACAAATGATTCTGCTCTCAACAAGAAAAACCTCTGCTAATTTTTATTTTTTTCTTTTCCTCCCCTTTTAAATAAGCAAAATTCAGCATGAAGTGCCTTTTCCTTTATGCTTTGTGCTGAAGTGGGTTGGGCTCTTTGCTTGGGGTCTCAGGTGGGTTTGGGAGGGAGGGTCCCCTCCTGGCCTGTGCTGTGATTCCTACCCCCAAAATTCGTTGGTGCTTCCTTGCTCATGAGCTGAGGCTCCCTGTGAGGGAATTGCTTTGATCGGGGGAAGTTCATCAAGTCCATTTGAAGCTGGTGAAGCAGGGAGTTTTTCAAAGGGTTACAAGCCGGTGCATGTAACAAATTTCAAGTTATAGTCTGGTGAACAAAGCAAATGGATTCTCCCTGGAGGGAGGCGAGCCCGAATCCCCTTTGAAACTTGCTTTAAACAACGCACAAACTTGGATACCTGTGGCAACAGCACCGAGAGTCATAAATTCTCTGAAAGCTGGGGTTGTCTCTTTAATTGATGCTATGGGGGAGCTGTTTGAAGGTTTAATTATTTTGAGTGTGCAGGCAGCCCTTGTGTTGGGAAGCTCTGAGTGGGATGGGCAGGGTCTGAGGCAGCAGGATGGTGCTGGGCTCCCCTCTGCTCCTGGAGCTGGGTGGTTTGCAGGGACCACGACAGGCAGGGCTGGGAAGAGCCAAGCGCAGCATTTCTGTCGCCGTGCTGTCAGCAGTCAAGTCCCAGGCTGCAGAAACCCATTTGCAACTGTTTTCCATAGTGAGGAAAGCAGGAGCTTTTATTAGCAAGGCTGTATCACGTTTTCCTACTAACTGCCTCGAGTTCCCACATGTTTTGCTTACGCTGAAGTGGGAGTGCTGGGCTCCGCTTGTTATTTTGATGGATGATGAAAGGCAGACATGAGGTGTGCAATATGGGACTTGATATTTAGAACTGGCACTTCCCGTTCAAGTTTGGGATCTGGGCTGTGTGTTTTTATGGCGTGCTCATGCAAACTGTCACCAAACACAAAGCCACCACAACAGAAAAAGGCAAAGCAGAAAAATTCACTCGCCAGGCCCTTGGTGTGACCGTTTGTTTCAAAGTAAATGTTACTGTTTAGCCATTATCAAAGGAAATCAA